CACTAGCACAACATAGTGAAAACATTATGAACTTATTTGATCAGAATCCGGCAGTCTGGGTGACAAGTTTGTCGAAGACAGTAATATCCAAGACTGTTAGTATAAGCTGGTCCAATCCTGTTCATAATCAAAAACTAATGAATAAAAAGAGATTATATAATTTTCCATAATAGTATCCAGAGTATATTACCCTGCCAAATTTTTTCAGACGGCGAAAAAAAAAATGAACAGTTTTTAGAAAAACTTGACGCATATGAAAGTTTTGTGTCTTCACTGTCAATAAGCAATACTGAGCAATACGGTCGGTGATAAGCTCACATGCTTAAACATCTTCAAATGGTTGGGTTCAGTTAGCTCATGTAATTTTAGCATGCTGATCAATATACACATTTTTATTTAATTTCTTGACTAACACCGAAAATTGTATATTTTTAAGTATACTTTTGAATACTTTTGACCCAAATCATAAAATGTAATTGAAAAAAAAACGTTAAAAACGTACCAAGTAAAATACTACGAAAAATCGCGTAAAACCGGACTTAGTTTAAAGTGAAAAAAAAAATTAGCCCACCAGTTGACATGAATTTTAACATTTGGCCCGCGGTTTGAGCACGTTGGGCAGCCCTGTATTATATATTAAAGAATGCGTAGCAACAAAAAAGTGGATTTTGGTCATTTTGGCTCCTACGTCAACTATGCAATCGTGGGAAGTACAGCACTGTTAATTATTTGAAACATCGCAACAATCATTCAAGTGTATAATTTCATCTTCCTCGACGAGACAATCATGGAGTTGTGATTTATCATGAAAATAATGATAACATAACTTGGAAATCCCAGCTACCATGTATTGCTCAAATTAATGATATTTCATCTTTGGGACTTTACGCCGGTTCTCAACAGAGTGTTCATTTAGCACTTTCACAGTTGCTAATTGTGAGCTTTCTAAGCCTATACCGTTTTTGCATTAGTATTATTGTGTGGAAAAGTACAATCAGGGATGTCGAGAATGTTTCGACTAGAAAAAGCAATCGAACCCAGCTGACTCCAGCATGCTAAGGGAAGCCCCATATTAATGCTATCAGCGTAGTAACAACAATTTCACTAAGGGTACGGCCAGGGTAGACGCGATTCGCGGCGCGACGCGACCAATTCAAAAGAATCTTATTATTTATTATTATTCCTTGCGTGAGTCGCATCGCGTCGCGTCGTGTGTCGCGTCTACCCTGGCCGCGGCCTAATCCTTTTCTCCATGCACATTTCAAATTGTCCTATCTGCTTTGATCGATTCTCTTCATCGACTTTGTTATTATAACCACTGCTATGCAAACAGATTTCGCGCTAATTCTACCACATAGTTTGATAAAGGAGGTTCTTATCTAGCATCCAAAACGTCAAATACTACAGGGAAAGGTTTTGCAGCTGAGTTATTAACAAAAGAGATAATCGATGAAGAGAATCGATCAATGCAGATAGGACCTTGAAATGTTTATCTAGTTTTTTTTTATTGAAGTGGACTGGTTTATCACTTTTATTCATGAAAAATTCGTAACAAACATAGATTTATGAAGTGTATAGCTGGAATTATCTCCTGGTCAAATGTCAAAGTATCAAGTCGGTTCGAATTGCTAGAACTTGCTGGGACTAAAATTTAAGAGCATTTCCCACCAGCTTGAAGTCGCTCTAATTTTGCATTTTTTTTTCCTATGTTGGAGACATAATTAGGTTTTGCACCGTCGGGGTTAACCTCAATCTGATGACAGTTTAGTGGTACTGTTTACGTGGACTTAGTCGATTTTTTCATGGGTGGATTTTCTCGATAAATTTTCAGACTGCAGTGAAGTGTAAACCACACTTCTGCAATGCTCACGAGCAACATCCTTGCAACGCGCTGTTCCTCGACAATTTTCAAGTGAAAATTCGGAAATTTTAGAATATTTTGACTGTCAAAAAGGTTCAGCCGATTAACACTGAGTTCATTTATGACGTCACGCTGCAGTACCTAATACTGTAGAGTGTATACATAACTGAATGTATTACCGTTCGTTATTGCATAATGCATGGATGAACCTCTCGTTGAACAGTCAGACGAATGAACAGATTCATCCTCTTGCGGCTTAGCAACACGTCAGCAGTGAGCACTGCACTATTCCAATGTCTCATCAGACCCTTATCAAGATATCTGCATTGCTTATGAAACAGTGGAACACAGTCACACACCAAATGTTCAGAGCTTTCACTCTTTTAGTTACAAAGCTTACCAATGATTTTTAGGTGATATTTACAAGGACAGGAACTGTTATCAAACCAGTGTTCAAATCTGTTTTAGAAAGGTTAAGTAACTTTTGTGTATGAAAAGCGTTCGGCTTTATAAAACGTATAGATTACCGAGAATTTAAGGTACTGGTCCAGTTGTTCTGTATCTTTTTTCTCAGTTTTTTAGCTACATTTTTAAAACACAAAAAGGTAGTCAAAAAATGATTCAGGGCCAATGAATTTCAAGGATGACCCCATATTTGCCAATGATCTACTTTTTCGTTTCCTTCGATTCCACAATGACCAGGAACCCATAAAAGTTTAACCGTATTCCGACAGGACAGTTGTTGTAATAGTTAAGTACATTCTCATAACTGTTTTGACGTGTAAGTTTTCGATTTCATAGCATTCATAGCATGAATATATTTGCATTTTTACAGTTCCTTTTTATGCAAATTACTGCACATTCTAAGATGGCATATATTTCAGCTTGAAATACTGTCGGCCATTTTCCCATGGACACCGAAAAGTGCACCCCAGGCCGGTAATACCAGCAACCATCATATTATCTTGTTTCGAGTCGTCTGTTTAAAAAATTAATGATCCAGGACGAATATTCAGTCACATAAGGAACTTGGAAATGATGGCTCAAATAATATTTCTTTAGCATCCAACTTCGTTCATCAATATGAATGGACTTATCTGAAACTTTTTTGGAATTCTCAAATGTCCAATAAGATCTCCATCGAAAACTTCATGGACCGTTTGAGCCTCAGAGCACTTTTCACTGCATCCAATTGAATAAATTTTTGTAGAGGAAAGAGATTGTGTAAAGCATCTAAGGCTGTAGAGGAAGACATTGCTCCAGTTATGGCAATAGTAGCAAGCCTTTGTAGCTTGTTTAGTTTGACTTGTGCCGTTTGTTGCTTCATGAACAGTACAATCAACCCGCCGCAAACAAATAAATTATTACAGAACTTTGAACACCTGAACGTTCAGTAAAATGTTGACCTGCGTTTGAAGCGTTAATAAGTAACTGTTGTTAATTGGTATCCGACGTCTGTAATAATTCGGATTGGCTGAATAAACGCTTAAAAATGAGCTCGCAAGTTTATGCGATCCTTTACGCGGTCTCATTGAAAATCAAACAAAAAGCGAAGGTCAAAATGATATGCATATTCAATAAGCAAGTCAGCAGACGCTGTCTACGTATCAGCTTTATAAAATCATATTGTAAGCTCTTATTGGGAGATTTTGTTGTATCCTTTTCACTCTCTGATACAGCCACCTTGAAGCCGCATTGCATTAATTCAAACGAATGTTGTTTATTCCACCATTATTCGCCAAAATTTATTGTTTTTATTTTTCTTTGTACCATTTTTCGAAAATAAATAGGGGCCCAGTGGCGTCAAGCTGGTCAATAACACCCGGTGCGGATGTTCTAGATGTCAACTCCCCTTCCCTAGCTTTTGCGTTTTTTTTTAATTACAGTAAAACTTACATTTAAATATCACACAATCAGTTTTCTTTTAAAAAAAACATGAACATGTCAAACAACAAGCGAAAAAAAAAACCTACAAAATTTAATTAATGCTGACGCCGAAAAAAATTATTTAAATTATTTTTCGGCTCCGTCTATTTTTAAACCTTTGAGCCTAGACAAACCTTAACATATAAACAACCAAATCTTGTTGTTTTCAAACAGTAGGGGAAAATGAAGGGAAATATTGAAGCACGAATTATAATTTGAGACAATTGTTTAGTGCGCCCCACACGACATAATACCACAATATGGTCGTGGGGTCATCAATACAAAGTCATTACTGTAGCCGCTGGTATTTTCCGAGTCAAATCACAACCGCCTTAACAGCAGATGCCAAAGAACAGGCCCCATCTGCTGCTGTAGTCAAACAAATGGGGAAATATTGAAACATGAAATCAAACTTCTTTGATTTTGCGTCAATATGCTCATCAATATATTCGTCGTCCATATTTGCATAAATGTGACTGTCAATACTTTTGAGTATTGACAATATTTTTGCCCGTGTTGTGTCAATCTTGTATCATCAATATTATTTACAATGCCTTTAGCAAGCACCACACGTGCAATAAATGTTGAAAATATTGATTGAAATATTGACGAAACATCTGTCGTGTAGTCCTCCCAACAAAGTGATTTGCAGTAAACTTTCCCGTGCTTTTCATATGGGGAATGGTATAAAAAGGGAGCATGCATTAATTATGCCACGTAAAATTTTGAAAAAGTAAACCCCCTCCCCCCATTTATCACGTTTTTCGTATACCTAATGCATTGCTTTTCACACATTTGTAAACCACCTCGCTCCTTTTAGAGCGTGACGTACTTAATGGATGCTCCCTAAACTCTTTTGTTCATGCAATAAGACAATATGATGGCTTGTTCTTTTTTTCTTCGCATTTCAAGCTTATTGCTTATCGAATATTAGCTTATTGCGTGATCTCAACTTAGTGTTCTAGATGCACTTCCACAGTTTTTAATTCAGAGCTACCATTTCTGCATTAGTATAATTGTGTGGCAAGTACAATCATACTCTATGCCCAGGGAAGTCAAGAAATTTTCCAACCCAAAAAATTCCTAGGACGAACCGGAAATCGAGCCCAGCCACCTCCAGCATGGTCTTGCATTGTAGCTGCACCTTTATCGACTGAGCTAAGAGAGGTCCTTGGCGAATATATGTATTGCAAAATCCGCTAACGATACTTACGTATTGTGGTTGAGGTTGTTGTGGTTGTGGTATGATAGCTTGCGGAGCTGGTGGTGGAGTGGTTATTGCAGCGGGATTATTGTTGTTGTTATTTTCTGGATTATTGAAAACCGACTCAAACAAAGAATCCAAATCATCCTGAGCGTATGTCTGGGCAACTAGCAGCAGCGCCACAGCGGCAACGGTAGAAAACCGAAGCAGCATTATGATCACGGGCGTGATTTTTCTTCTGAAACAGATAATCAAAGAGTAATGATTAATTAACACGAAATTACTGTACAATTTTGAATTGCTTATCACTATCACGGGCGAGATCACCGGAGGTTATTATATAATTGAAGTTTTTTATTTGGAAATATCCGTTTGAAAGTTACAAACGATAGAACCTATAATTTTTAAAATCTTGAAACATGGAGAATGTTGTGATTCTAAATCGATACACTGCAGAATGTATTATGTGACGTAATTGCTGAATCTGGACAGAGCCGTACAAAAAAAAACAGGGACTAGCCTTTATTGATCTCAAATTTGAACATAGCTAAGTTTACTTTAAACAAACTATTCATTGGTAACCAGTTTTCAACCGAAATGATATTGTAACCATTCGTGCGCATGACACACGTTGAACATTTAATGAAAACAACAAATATCACCAGAGAACAAAAGTAAATTCAAAGTACTCACAATGCAATAACAGAACAGAGGTATCACGCTTCACAGTTCGCACTCGATTAACGTTAACCGTCTATAGATCAAAATCATTTAAGCCAGCAAACGAAGCACCCGTCGCAACTTTTCGGTGCTTCCCAGAATCGATCCCGAAACAACAACCGAAGTCGAACGACACGATCGCACAGCAACTCAGAAACGAGATTATACTGAACTTGACACCGGGACAAGTTTACTTCAGCAGCGGGCTAGGCTTATCGATGTTGTGTGTTTATATACTGGATGCATATATGTGGAAGAAACCGGTAAATCAAAGCATTTAGGAACTGCGAAGCGGGATATCCCCACGAATCTAGAAACCCCGTCGCAACGTAACGGCGGCGGAAAATCTCTCGCGCTCTCTTCGTTTCGCATCTCGTATCAGTTTGATTATAAGGTTGAAGCCGGTGCGTGACTTTAACCAGCTCATATGTTCAGAGAGGATTTCCCACAAAAGTTGGATTAGCCAGTATAAATCGATGAAAATTATAAATCTAGTCATTATTTAAACACTTCACTTGATTGCAATCAGGGTGCCTTCCATTCATTTTGACTAAAACAATGTTTTATGAAATTATGGAATAATAAGATATTATGATGATATTTTGTATATGTAAGTAATAAGAAAAGATTGTAAAGTTTGTTTTTTTTTTTTTTTTTTTTTTTTTTTTTTTTTTTTTATTATAGTCACTTTAACACTCTTGGGTCATTCGTTACTTGTCCGGGGGTGAGATTTGAACTCGTGACTTTGGCGTGAGAGGTATGGATGTTAACCACTACGCCGGGGTCGCCCCCTTGTAAAGTTTGTGTTTCACCCATCAAACCTGCAAATTTAGCTTTGACAGAGTCACAATGAGCGTTTTTCTGATCGCCTCTTCGCGAAGTGAGATAAATTACAAAATCGCTTATTGCGTCTCTCATGTAGCAAAATTGGCAGGTATTATGTGTCAAACACAAACTTAACAATCTTTTCTTGTTGTTTACATAATCAAAATATTTTCATAATATCTTATTATTCCATAATTTCTTAAAACATTTTTTTAGTTAAAATGAATGGAAGGCACCCTGATTGCAATTATAGACAGATTGACCGTAGATGCAGATTTGCTAACATACTTGCAAAGCAATTAACACCTTCTACCTATACCTCAAGGAAATTGTTTGTGGTTCATAATTATCGAAGTAGGGTAATTGATTCTGGTTGGACCTATCCAAAAACTGATGATGGTTGGACCTATTTTTTCAATCGCTAGTTTAGTCAATCTTCGCTAAATTTTTATTTTCAAAGATCACTTTACTAACATAAAAAACTCTTTTTCTTCAATTTGCATGGGTGTTTTATTGAAAATCTTCAAAACAATTGACTGTCAATGTGTTTTCAAAACAGTTCACTTTCCACGCATTAGCTCGTCATCATGCCTTACTTTCAAACATACAAAAAAGGAATATTTTTTACATTTATTTTTATTTTCATGCAGTACTTGCTTTAAGGTGTAAACACGTTAGTACGTCATTTATCCATTGGTTTCACTAAAATGTTTGAATAATTGACGAAATTCGAATAGATAAATATGATCATGGTTGGACCTACGCATGATGATGGTTGGACCTATGTGTTTCCTACGACGGCCGCTAGGTGCACTTCGGTTTGTCTACATCCTTCATGCGCAGCTGATTTGAAATTCGATTTCGTTTTGGCCTAGTGATCAGAGTCTTCGATTGAAAAGTGTCGAAAGAAAAGAGTTATACGGTCGAAAATCTTCAAAAGGCTGTTCTTTTAGTAAGAAATAAATCACTTACCGCGTATCAGGCACAGAAAAGGTACAATAATCCGAAAACGACACTTCACGCAAAAATTAAGGGAAGCCACGGCAAAAAATATGGAAGGGAAATAGTGTTGAGTGTTGATTTGGAGAACCAGCTAGGGGATTGGATTTGTATGTGCGCTGCTTCTGGCAGTCCCAAGACGACCAAAAAGATCTTGGAAGCTACTAAAGACCTTGCGTCACTAGTTAGGCGTAAATTTAAAGGAGTAATTCCATCGTCAGGTTGGCTGAAAGGGTAACCACCGACTTCCGAACTACCACGAAAGCGCCGAAAGAATCTGTTAATATGAATTTACATTAAGCACTTCTCATAAACCTTCTGTGTGTGAATTAACTTGAAATAAAATGTTAACAAACTAAAAATTGCTAACTGAAACTTATTTCCAAAAAAAAACTCCTAGGAGAAAGCTATAAAACCGGAAATAAGTTCTGATATTCAGTCATTTTAAGCCCCTAAATTCCCCGGGGGCACCCAGAACACGCCCGGAAGTGGCCAACGTGGTCCAAGGCACTCAATTTTATTATTGATCTTGTTATCGAATTTGGAAGTAATGTGGAGTGTCGAATGATAGGTTTTATTCCTTCCATGTCAAAATTAGGTCCATGTTCCATATACCCTGGAACTTGTTCTGGCCATATCTCCGGAACCAGTTGACCGATTCCAAAAATATTCGATAGCTTTCAATGGGACCACAATACCTATAGTTTGACGTTAAAAATTTTCCAAATCGGGTCAATGATTTCCGAGAAAATGAGCCATGATGAATAGCTAATGCGTGTAAAGTGAACTTTTTTAAAAACGAAGTTAAACTCAAATTTCTTGATTTTTTTAAATAGCAAATTCATAAAAACTGTATAAAAAGGGTTTTTTCATGATACCAATAAGCTCTAAACAAAGTTTTTGAACAAATATGGGCTAAACTAGCATTTGTAAAAATAGGTCCAACCATCATCATTTTTTAGGTCCAACCAAGATCAGTATAGGTCCAACCAACATCATAATTCTTTGCTGATTAAAAACGTTTTATAAAATCACTTGTTCATAATATTTAACTTTTTATGTTATTATTAGAAACAAGAAAGGTAGATCTTTCCCCTAATCACGCATTTTTCATAATTATATGTTGAATTCATAAAAAAAATACGACATGAATGTTGACGTCGTGTGAAACCGGCCTAAATAGGTCCAACCATCATCAGTTACCCTACACTTTTAATGATCATCATAGTGCGAAAAGTCAGATCTCGAAGATTTACAAGGAAAAGACAATAAAAGGCTTATGAATAACGACTGTTCAAGTTATAAAACGGACACACACTTTCAGTCCCAATTTTTTTTTCAAATTGACTACAAAGCTTAATGCTTTTTCGGCAAGTTTTAACCTCTGCTTATAAGCAACATAGAAAAAATAATAAACAATATATTTGAAGCAGCACGTAATTTTAACGAATATTTTAATCACACATGCTCTGCAATACATTTTTAATACTCATGTCAATATTACTTGAACACCAGGATAAACTTTGCAATTGAGCACGATAGTTTTTATTTCAGCTCGTCCAAAAGATAATACACGAGTAGCTAAAGTGAATATGATTTTCTTAAAACAAATTGTTTGCACGATTTTGCAAAATTTTCGGTGTCAAATTCCATTCCATGTTTAAAAGTTTAGAAAATTGACAATATTAGCTCAAAAATACTGATACCGTAAGTTTAAGCTATTCAATGACAGTTTTAATCAATTTTGGATTGAATTTGAAACACATAAAATAAATTTCGTTCTGACTTTTAACTATGTCAACACTATTTTGTTCTAATTAAATGATCTGACGAATGTAAATGTAATGATATTTTACCTAAAGGCTTACACGTAAGTATATAAATAGAATACAAAAAGAAAAACAAATCTCGTTTTTAACGCGAAAAATTAAAATCTTACAGACAAGGACTGCGCAAGTTATAAAACAGACATCAAACACGTTTTGTAACGTACACAGTCCTTACTACAAATGCTTTTAATATAAAATTATATCAAATGAACTGTTCAAAAGCTCAAACTAACTGTAAAACTAAACTCATAAAAATGGTTGAATGGTTCGTCATTTTTTCGGAACATTGTACTTCGAATCCTATTTATTATGTCTGTATACCGTTGCAAAGTTTACTTACTCGACTTTTTATAAACCTGTTGTCACGCTGAATTACTCTGTTGAAAAACCGTCAAATCCGATTTATTATTATTTTTAAATATGTTACCAGTACTAGTTCAGTAATCCAATTGATAAAAAGCCGTTTATCAGCTTTAAATTGCAAAAAGGGTGCTAAGCGAGTTTGATGGTTACTTAGGTACCTACTACAAAATTTCACCCACAGGTATAGTTTATGATCAAGCGAACGAAACAAAAATTCAAACAATTTTGAATGGCTAATTTTCCCGGAGAACTTTAGTGGAAGTTTTGAGATTTTCCTGGACATTACGTAGTCTTAAAATTCATAATTCATGAACCAAGCATCGTAGAACGAATGTTTACAATGACAGGACAAGAAAATTTTCTAAGCTATCCAAAATATAATGTGAAAAACGTTTCGCACGAAAATTTTCGCGATTGAAGAAAATCACCAAGAAAAGCAAAAACCATTTCCTAAGTGATAATTTTTTTTCATTGATTTGTTTCCGTCGATCTTCTTTTCCGTGCTGAGCACCAATGCTACCGACGCCAGGGAGGCAACTCCCACACCTGGACCCTACCCTATCGTCTCATCAACTCGTGAACGGGAGACCAACGGCTTCCCAAATAACAATTTTGGTTTTATGAGGGTTCTGTAGACCATGATTAAGACTTGTAGAATGCTTTAAAACTATGATAAAACTTGCAATGTTGCTTGGGTTTACTTCGCTTCCCAAGGATGGCGTGATCAGAGATGTTATGCCTCAGAACATCTCGGCGACGCCGAATAGAATTGAACCCAGACCTGCTGGGGTGAAAGGAAATCACGCTTAACATTACACCACCGGCGCCGCTCGAGTGATGAAATTGTTTTCATCTATTTTAGTCATGTTTTTTCCTCAGTTCGAGACCTAACACCACTGCGACCAGTAATTTGATATATTGTAGTATATCCGGTGTCCTTAGTTTAGTGAATGTCGTATTACTCTATTACTTTTGGAAAATGATGAAGTATTCGGTTTTGATACAACTGTCATTCTTGCCTTCATTGCAAGGAATCAATTCTAATTGAAAGGTCCCGCTATTTATACCCTTCGGAATGTTGAAACATCCTCCAAAGGCGCACCCCTTTGTCAGTCAAAATTTTATTCCTTAGCCACAAAATTAAGGA